ACTCTAAGACACTTTTGCAAGTAACATTTAAAATTACAGAAATGCATTTAAAATTGATGATGCCACAGCTTTATTAGGTGTAGGGTTCTAAAATTTTAGTGGTATATAGAATAATGGTGCCACTCAAAAAATGTCATCATAAATAAAATGAAGTGTGTTAGCTTTTGTCTTAATTTTCATAAATTTTTATAATTTTCTTCCTACCAGCTACATATTTTGTTTGCATTTTCCTTGCACAATAGGGAAATAATTAAAATATCATTGCTACTATGAATAAGATCTGGATATGTGTTTGTGTGTGTGCACATGTGTGCTCACACACAGATTTCTTTGGTTGTAGTTGCTTTGAATCTTTCTAAAAATATTAGACATTTTAAAATATTTTTCTTTTATTCTTTTTACTTCAAACGAGCACGCTCTTCTCAGTATTTCAATACAATTTTGAATCACAGCATTTTAAAGTATCCGTTGATTATTTTCTCTGCTGCACATACTTTAACAGGAAGATTAGTGTTTATCTAGAGTTGGTTTATTGTCAGGTGGATATTGGCATGTTGTCAGCTGATGTTTTTTTAATTTCTTTTCAAAACCATTGGGGTGGCAGGAGAAATACATTAATATATTCTCCTAAATTTACAATATTTGTTTAGAAACTAAGAAATTTGTATTATTGTAAGTAGTCAGTGTAGAGTTTTATTTTTTTTGCAGCTTTTCCGAATTTGGTGCAGTTTTCATGATAAACAAACTACAACAACAACAACAAAAAAAACAGTTAATGTCTGGTCTTTGCTGGAAGAGGCCAGCCATAAAAAATGTTAAAACTGGGTCTTTCCCTTGATACTGGTGGAAACCAATTGCTACGTGTCCATAGACTTAAGGGAAAGCTCATGTAATGACCACCCTGACTTCCCTATGATCTAAGTGAATTATAGTGGATGCTTTTCGTTATTTCTTCCTTGTACATCACTTTTTTACAAAAAAGACCTATTTTGGTCCCATCTGCACACTGCCTTAAAAAAAAAAAACAAGCACCACATGTACTCACCATCAAACTGGTATTAGCTGATCAACATTTAAGCGCACATATAAGAATAACATGTATTAGATGTTGGGCAGGGGGAGGGGGGAGGCGGAGGAGGGGACGGGCATATGCACAAACAACGAGTGCAACGCGCACCTCTGGGAGAATGGACACACTTGAAGCTCGGATTTGGGGGGGAGGGAGGGAAAGGGCATCATACCTAATCTAATCATCTGTACCCGCATAACATGCTGAAATAAAAAAAAAAAAAAAGTCCTCAAAGATTCTGAAAAGTTTATGAAGGCAATTCCTAGTTTCTGGTCATAAGGAAGATTCTTTGCCTGATTTTTTTTTGTTTTCTTATTTATATTTATTTTGAGGATCACTTCTGTAGAAATTTCAGAGAAAAAAAAAGGAGATATGCTTGTGTTCAAATTGTTTTCTTGATTAGAGTGATTAATAAGAAAGAAAATAATCATCATGTGTTTTCTTTCTTTTCCAGCTTAGAGTTAGTGGTTGCTCTTGTTGTTCTGCAATTGAATACAATTGATCTAACATCCAGTTAGAAGCTCTCATATTTAAAATCTCAGGAGGGGGTTCTCACTGCAAAGCTGCTGTTCTAGTATGGGAAATGTCAAGCGCTCCCTGTTGGCAGGGTGAGCTTGCATATTGGTCTTGGCAACTGTTTGTTACTGTTTTGGTCTCCTAGTACCAGTCTTCTCGAGGTCCTATCGCACAGAGATTAATGCAGGAATGTAATCACTCCTCTCCATTAGGTCAACAGGAAATGGAAAGAAAAAAGTGGCAAGGCCCCCACGAAGACAAGTTTACATTTTCTTACTGAGTAAACTGTATATCGTAAGACCCTTGAAACACTTTCTTTGTTGTTCCCATAAATTTGAAAGTAGATATGATAAAATAAAAGTACTGTGTAATTATGTGGCAATTAAGAGAAACCTTAAGATATAATACATTTCTTATTTAGATGGAAAGGTTTTCATTTGGAATCGTATAATGGTACCGTTATTGGTGATGTTATTGATGATGTTACTGTTGGTCTGTCATTAATTAATCACATTGAAAAGTTATATCAAAAATTACTTCAGTGTATTTCAAAGAGAAAAACAAATTTACTAAATTAAAAACCAAACAGATCACACTCAGACTGGCAAGGAACTCTGAATGCTAATCTAATCTAAACCAAGTAAAATTCATATTTTATGATCTGTTTGTTTATGGGAAACAGGAACATTTCAATTTGGTTCAACCATTCTAAGTTCCTTAAATCATTAAAAAATTTCAACTTGGTTTTAATTTGTATTTCCCTGATGATTAGTGATGTTGAGCATTTTTTCATATGTTTGTTGGCAATTTGCCTATCTTGCTTTGAAAAGCTTCTGTACATGAGATATCACCTTTACTCCTGTCAGAATGGCTGTTACTAAAATGTTAAAAAACAGTAGATGCTGGCGTGGATGCAGAGAGAAAGGAATGTTTATACATTGTGAGTAGGACTGCAAATTAGTACAACCTCTGTGGCAAACAGTATAAAGATTCCTCAAAGAACTAGAAGTAGACCTACAATTTGATACAGCAATCCCACTACTGGGTATTTACCCAAAGGAAAAGAAGTCATTTTATCAAAAAGACACCTGCATGTGAATGTTTATTGCGGCACAGTTCACAATTGCAAAGATGTGGAATCAACCCAAATGCCCATCAACTCATGAGTGGATTAACAAAATGTGGTATGTGTATACTAAGCCACAAAGAAGGATGAATTAAGGCCTTTTACAACAATTTGGATGGAATTGGAGACCGTTAGCCTAAGTGGAGTATCTAAAGAGTAGAAAAACAAACACCACATGTACTCACTATTAAACTCGAACTAACTGATGAGCACACATATACACAGAGGCAAGTGAAATTCATTTGAAACCAAGCAGGGGGAAGATGGGAGGAGGGAATGGGCAAAAAACTATCTAACGGGCACAGTGAACACTATCTGGGTGATGGGCACACTTATAATCCTGATTCAAGTATAACAAAATTGATACATGTAACCAAAAACATTTGTACCCCTGTAATATTTTGAAATTAAAAAGGAAAATTAATAAAATATTTCTGTGTTACAATACTTCTAAATGAATCTAATATATGCCAGTTTTGTTGATCTGCTAGTAAGACTTTGTATTAAACTAGGGAATATATAATATCATCTTTATTTTCTCCAAGTTGTAAAAATTAATTGTTTCTCATGCACGGCAGAAAGGTGCTAAATCCCTTTCTCTTGTTACAAAATCTGTTTTCTAGTACTAGGGAGACTATTTCATTTGCATGTTAATTGAGAAGAAAGTAGTGGAAAAATGTTAGCAAGATGATAAAAGAAGCCTATTTATCCCACCTAAACTTAAGTGTCATTTATTCATTCCTGTTAGAAAGGAAAATAACGAGACTACCCAATTAATTACTCACGTAGATTACAATTCTGCAGCTATCTCCTGGCAAAAATAAGAAATCTATTAATCAATGAAAATAAAATTAATCATAAGTTTCCCTGTCCCCTACACGCAATTTTAATTTTTGTCTGATATGAGTTGGGAGCTTTGTATAGATTTTAAGTTGAAGAAGATCATTTCTTTAGTTAGATATCATTCATTAAATTGTTCTATCTATCTCCACTGTTACGAAACCAAACTACTCTGGATAAAATCTTGCTTAGTTCAAGACGACAGGATTATTATCCATAAAGAATGGCTAGTATGTTGAAAACTCCTATATGACATGTTTATACCTCCTTTGTTTTTAGTATAATTGAGAAAAATACTATTTATAAAATGGAGTAGTATTACCTCATGTTTAACAATATTGAAAAATACTTGGTGAAAAATTATAGTAATATTTATCCATTAAACATTTCTTTTGCATAAGTAAACTAGTCTGGCTAATTATTTTGCTAAATAAAACTACCCATCAATTTCTTTTGGTAGGGAAATATAATATTTCTAAGGACGCACTCATTTCTGGTGGTTCATCTTCTAAAGGCTTGCATACTCCTTATCTTTGGGAAAACCTTATCAAATATCTCCCGTTCAAATCTGTAGACTTGTAAACGTAAGTGCCTTTCGATATTCTACCAAAATAATTAATGGACATATGTATATGACCCATTCTAAATTCATTACAGAAATCATTATGATTGAAAAAGGAGACAAACAGGAAAATACCATTTATTTCCATGGCGTTAAAGGTAATACAATTAACTTAAGCAAACTATATCAGAAGTCAAGGGAACGAATACTAGTTGCCATGAGATAAACTGAAATATTAGTATTAAATTATTATCTTTGTAATTTCATAAAATCTATTAACGTTAAGCCTATAAATAGATTTTGGAGGTTTCCATCAAGCCGATTAAAATCATTCCCATAAGATAGGTCTCTGGAAAGAGTTTTGAAATTTAACAGCGTCGTTTTGTATTATGTAATAGTTTTCTTAAGTTACTTGAAATTTATAATTAGTGCTGATGTAAATAAATTTCTCCTTTTAGAATGCTTTAAATGCACATGCATATATTATATATATATATACACCACAAGTCTTTACATTAGATGGTATTTTAAAATGTTATATAATAATGTACTAGGTTTTTAAAAATTTAACTATAACAGTATGCTAATGTTAAATACATCTAAATGAGAATGTGTGTGTGATAAATAGTATGTGTATGTCTGAAGATTAGTGCATCCAGCATTCAGAGATAATAAAAATGTTCTCTCTATTCTTGCTTTGGAATTTCAGATAAGAGTGGTTATATTAAGAAGCAGAGATAAAAGGAGAAAGCAAGAAATAATTCAAATGCTGGTAAAGTAATACTCTACATTGCAGCAATTCACAATAGTGTGTTATATATAGAAATAAGATCAGTCATTGTTTTCAGGCTTGCTAAATAAAACTAAACTCTTGGAATGGCATGCCATTTGACCTCTCAGGGGTTCTTCTAGCAGTATTTAACGGGTACAAGGGGAACACATTTGCAAGTGTCTACGGTTGACATGACAGATTCTCCTGTTAGTTCACACAATGTTCAAAAGGCAGAAGACCCTTGCTTCAGAACGCAAGAGGGGATTATTTTCCCAAAGAGCTACACGGTCCCTACTGAAGAATGATATGAAAAATTTTCACTATTTGTCTCAATTTGTACTCGCAGCGGGCCCTCTGAAGCCAATTCTAGGAGTCAAACATTCAAAAACTACTCACTTTGAGATTGAAATACTTGATGCCCAAACAAGAAAACAGATATGTATTGTGGATAAGGTGAGTTTTATTTGTTCGTTTAAATGTTGCTAATCTGCATCAAAGATTATTGATCACTTGATTAAATGCTGACAGGACTGTACAAAAAGTCATTTCTCACTTTTAACCTTAATTTTATGGTGAACAGGACAGATACTTTACACATTGTTTCAGGAGGAGATATTCATTGTATGTTTCATACTCAATTTAAATTTAATTAAATGGTAGCTAATAATTTAGTTCTGGTTTTCCTGCTATGATTGATTATTGTTTAGAGGTAAAATTTTCAAGCTGAACTTCTGAGCCTACATGAAAAATGTCTCTAGGTTTCTATCTTCATTCACTTCATTAAATATTCACATTATCACAGAGTTTTAAGAGGGTTTGTAGCAAAAGCCACAGTAACTGCTAATAGTAAGATTTAACAGATATGTGATAAAATCCAGTCATTTTAAAAGCTATTTTGAATTCGTTTAATTATTTGTCTTAAAATTTCCCGTCTCACTTTTTATGAAAGTTTACATGCTTCAAAACCACAGTCTTCAAGGTCCTGAAAATAATGTCATGTTTAATATGCTACACATCTATATTCATATGCACAGATATTTCATTAAGGAAAGATAAAATATATACTTTTTAGGTTTGAAAATTAAAACGTGAACACACGTATACATTTTAGATATACAAATACATGTATAATACTCTAAATATTTTCAGTTTTTCTTATATTTTAAAATATATTATTAGTTTATTGAGAGACTGATATTTGTACAGGTAATAAAATACACCTTTATTTTGTTTTACAGAAACGTTGAATAAGTTTTTTGTTGTGATTCTAAAAATACAATTCAATCACTGATTCCATTTTACCATGCTCTAACTGGGTTTCTAGATAAGAGGAGAAAAGAAGAAATTATTCATTGCTTTTAATTGCCAACAAGATTACATATCCTCTCTTACTTAGTAATTATAACACAATGACCAATTAATTATTTGAATAATATTAATTTTTATTTATAGATGGAGAAGAAGATTAAGAACTTTTACAAGTTCATATGGGTTATAAATGGCACTTAAGAGATCACAAACCATTTCTATGCAACTTTTAGTCATATGCTTTTTCTATAGTTCTACTGGGGCCATATGTAAATGATAAATATGTATTATGTAAAATAGATTTTGATATATGAATTTCATGCACAGAATAATTTACTTCTTTTTGGTATCAGAGTAAAGTTTTTGGATTTTTTCATAGTATACAGGAATAAGACAAAACAAAAAATAAAATTCTCATCCAGAGTTGCTAATGTTTACAATATCCCACTATGAAAAACACAAACTTACAAGAAAACAACTAAATCAGGGAAACAATGTAATAAATGGAATGGAAAGTAAGTAAGTCAAGGATTTCCAGAGACTAAGATGCTCAAATTTTCAAATAAGATTGATTAGTCTGCCCTTTCTGACCTGTCCAAACCTGGACAATCTACTTTAAAGTAATGAGAAACTACTGAGTTATTAATTATTTATCTCATACGTTTAAATTTTATGTTATTGAGAATTTATTTGAAACTAATACAGAGATATTTACATTTCCAGGAGGTAATTAAATTTCAAAAAAAAATTAAACACTCAGAAAACTATCATTCTTTAGAGATAAAGATTTTGCTCAGAAGCTCATATTTGAAGTGTGATAGTCCTGGTATTTGTATCTCAAGTGGCAAACCTTTATAGAGACTCAGTAGACCAAATAGGGGATTAACTTTGGATTTTTCACCATCCTTTGTTGCATAATCAAATCTATATCATGTGCAATTTACAACATCCAAATCTGTAGAATTGGACTTTGTTTTGTCTTATTTTAGTTTTGTAATTCTGTTTCAAAATAGTGATGAGACATTGAGAGAAAAATCGATCTAAATTAATTTACCTTTTTTTTGCTTTATGATTGCTAACAGTTTATATTTGTAAACATTAGAAAGACTGATTTTTGTTGTTCATGATGTTATTCTTAGACAAATTAGGAGCTATATAGTAAGGTCATGTTAAATGCCCTTCCTTGTATTTGGTTGTTCCTAGGGTACAAAAGAAGTGTTGCTTATAACTTAGTCTTTGTCTTTCAGTATTTACTATGTTATAAATTAGCACAAGTTAAATATCATGTACTTTGGAACTGAATTCCTGCTATGTCATTCATGTCTATCAATGATTGGGAAAGATACTGGATTGCTGAGCTCCAGGGCCCTTATTTGGAATACAGATTAATAAAATCTTATTAAGAAGGTTCATAAAAGCTTATTTCATAAACTTAAAGAGTAGGCATAACATATGTAACATGCTTTGAATATTGTCTTGACCCTAGTAGGGACAAAATTATTATATTTTTACTTCTAATAATCATTTCCAGAGAGAAAGTTAATGTACATAAAAATACAAGAAAAAATAAATGATGAGGCTTTTGATGACTCGCTCAGAATTTAAATTTGACTTCTTGATATTTAATTATCCATTGCCATGATTTGTTATAATGCTTCCGTTAGATAAAATATTCTCAAATATCTCGAATGAGCTGTATGTATCTTAGTAACATATGTTGTAGCAGAACTTTTGTATTGTCTATAACTCAAACTTTAACATGGAAAAAATATGGACTCGAAATAGTCATAAAACAAAAATATTGAGAAAAATCCTGGGATTGAAAAAATACGTATGGAATCACATTCTTCTACTTAATCACACACACACATACACACACACCACACAAACAAAAAACCTTCTCTTGCCTCCACTATCTTCTGCAGTTTCTGCCTGTTTCTCTCCTTACCTTCCCCAGGTATTCATGTCTTTTGCCCTCGTTTCTCTCTTCTCGCTGTTTCCTAAACCCACTTCATTTGGGCATTTGCCTCCATCACTTGTCAGAGTCTGGACTGGCTGAGGTCACCAGTGAGGCACGGCAAGTACTTTGCTAAATCCAACATTCCATTCTCATGCTTTATCTTACTCAGGAGGTCAGCAACATTTTCCACTGTTAATCACATCCTCCTCCTTAAATCACTTTGTTATTTGAGTTCCAGGATAATACACATTTGTTTTAACCTACCTTATTGGCTTTTCCCTTTCCCCTTTGCTGATTCTTCATCTGTCTTAGCTGTGAACTGCCAACAACTCATTATCAGAACTTCTCCCCATATCCCCATCTACAATAATTTACCTTCCCCCCCCCCTTTTTTTTTGAGACAAGGTCTCACTCTGTGGCCCAGGCTGGACTGAAGTAGCATCATCATAGTTCACTGCATCTTCAAACATCTGGCTCAAGCAAACTTCCCCCTCCTCAGCCTCCCAAGAAGCTGGGACTATAAGCATACACCAAACATCTGGCTTCTTGTTGTTGTTGTTTTATTTTATTATTTTATTTTATTTTATTTTATTTGATAGAGACTGAGTTTCACTATGTTGCTCAGACTGGTCTGAAGTTTCTCATATATATATTCATATATCTACACACACATACACACATGGAACTATTGACTTGGATTTATTATTTTATTTTATTTTATTTTATTTGATAGAGACTGAGTTTCACTATGTTGCTCAGACTGGTTTCAAATTCCTGGGCTCAAGCGATCCTCCTGCCCTGGCTTCTAAATGTGCTAGGATTAGTGTGTGAGCCACCATGCCTAGCCTAACTTACCTTTTTGAGTCCCATAGCTTTAAATATCATCTTCCTATTGATGACTCATAAACATATAACCGCTACCTATTCTTTTCTTTTGACCTGTAAATCCCTATATCTAATTCTTTATCTATCTATCTGGATGTTTACTAGGCATTTCAAACTTGATGTATCTAAAACTAACCACTTGGTTTTCTCCCAAACATCTTCCATAGAGTTATTCAAGCCAGTAAGTGGCAACTATATCCTTCTAATAGCTCAAGCCAAACACTTGGAGAATCATGACTCATCTCTTAATCTCACACCCCACATACAATTCATATTCTTGGCAATACCTTCAAAATATATCCAGACTGACAAATTTTCATCACCTCTGCTGCCAGGACTCCTAAATCTTCCCCCTGATTTTGTCCTTAGCAATTTCAGTATATTCCCTGCATAGTAACTAGAACTAGCCTGTTATATTCTGTCAGATAATATCATTCCCTCCTCCAAACTAGGCAATGCCTTTCCTTTGGTCTTAACTGTCAAATTTTCCTGGAGGTTTTTCTTGACTATTTAAAATTGCAAACAGCCTGCCAACATTCTCTTTTAGTTTTCCTTGTTTTATTTCTCTACTAGACTTACAACCATGTAACCTACTGTTGATTTTTCTTTCTTCATTTAGTTCATTGCTTACCCCACCCTTAGTGTATAACCTTCAAAAAGTGAGAGATTTCGTTTGTTATTCACCCTTATATCTTCAGCATTTACAACAGTATTTGGCACAAAGAAAGTGTTTAACCAATATGAGTTATATAAATGGACTTCTGTTCAAGAAATATGTAAATTTGACACTGCTAAGGTTTAGTAGTGATAATTTTACAGTAGAGGAATATAATATTTGAACATACTTTTACTGTTTTCTAAATAAAATTAGTAGTGAAATAAATGTCCACATATTCACAGAAAAAGACTAAACTATTCCACCAAATGCCCAAATTCCTCCTGGTTTACCCTGAACACAGAG